CAAAAAAATCAACTAACTTCGAAGCCGTCCATTACAGACGCTTTTCGTTTTTCTGCGTCTTTTTTGTCACTTTTGTGTATAAATATAGACACTATGCGATGCATACCGTATCAGGGATGACTAATCGTCAGGAAGCTCCAGATTTGGGGACATCTTCAAAGGGCGGATGGACGGACGGACCGCGATATGCGAACGGAGAAGGCAGATGCGGGTCACGTGACGTGGACTAGTAGGAGTACAAACGACAAGGATAGCCGCTGCAATAAAGCCCGTGTGAAGGTCTTTGCAGGCTCGTTTTCGATCGGTCATGCTGTACTATGTACTACTATGACGACGGTGCACGATCTCACAATGAGCAGGCGATGTAGACTAGAAAAATGTATAACTAGGTAAAAAATTATTAACAAGTTTGTATACACATATATGTATACACACTAATAACTACGTTCTAAAGCCAAGGAAACCTTCTGTTCCGTTTTTTGCATTGATGGCGACGCAGGGGAGGAGCATCTTTCCCGTGACTCTCAGGCTGTATGTGATTTCTCCAGTGCAATAATTTGCCAAGGGCGCCAACGTGGAAACTACATAAAGCAGTGTAAAAGATGTGATAATTTAACCGAGCAGATAGAAGAAGCCATTCGCGTTCCTTGGGAGCATCTTTCGTGTCAGATTCGTTCATGCGATTCTTAATCGATCGCCAGATTTAACTGACTGTTGCATAGGGTCTCATACGTATTCATTGGACTTTGTGTCGTCTACTTTCTAAATTTCTAGCGGTAAACATTTCAATTTCCCTCACTTTAGTGACATTTAAAGTTATTCACCTTGAAAAAATCCGCTGACCTTAGAGGCGGATCGAATGAACTCAATAGAAGACTGCCATTGAGACGAAGCCATCAACTCGGCTCGAAGCCAGCTAAGAAAGCTCAGCCCCTATTTTTATACCCATCCAGAAATAGACGGGTTTCAGTTTGCTATATGACATAACCAAAAGCTACACTCTGTACGTGCCTAAAACGTCTATGCTTTTCCTGGTGGCAACACGTTTTCTTTAGGACGGCAAACAATCACTCCAGCGAGTGAGTCTTTTTGCGTTAAGTACGACCTGTGTTATCGATAACTGCCAATATTCGCGGATATTCTTGTGGCAGTAGTTTTAACATATATTCGGAGTTATAGAATATCTCGGACTACAGTCACTGATACCGCGATGGCGTGCTTAGGTGTTCAGGTATGTGGTAGATTTGTCGGTGTTGAAGAGATGGTGTTCCATTTATGTATGGGCTTTGCCGAAATGAGCTTTCCGCTCAAATTGACTGAGCATATTGAGGATGCAATGTACGTAAAAACATGCATTACTGATATATAGATGTGTGTACCGCTATTGTACCACATGTGACCTAGTTCCCTATGCAAGCAGTCAACGAAAATTATTTAGGAAAAAATTCCCGTGGGCACCTGTGACAGTGCCGAGCAAAACAATTAACCTGTTAATTAGCATAGTACCTGCGTGCCCAACGAAAAATAACAGGAGTAATTAGCAATGCGGGACTCCGAGTTCATTGTTTCTACTCGCTTAGCCACAAGACGGTGTCCCGCATGCCTGCCCAACGACAATGGCTGGGAACACGTGAGTCGTTAGTTCATCTTCAAGTTGACTTCCTTCGTGACGACTAATCATAACGAGATATTATATCACGTGATGGAAAACACAGGCAGCTGGTAGACACGTGACGTCATTAAAGGACGAGTAAGTGTCGTGACGCAGAGGGTTCATTTTCAGAAACCGACTATATCAGTGTAGCTTACATCAGTTGTACGATAGCACTAGCTATCAAAAACTACTAGTTGGGAACGAGTTTTCCATGGATCAGATGAAATGGTCCCACGGCAAATTTGCCACTCACAGGAGTGTAACCACAATCTCCAGCAGCGTCATTGACACTGAGCATTATATAAGAAAAAAACAACAATTGATGTTGAGCAGTTTTGACTGGACAGATTTAGTGTTATTGTTATTACACGTCTAATCACAACACTCGACAAAGTATAGGATTCTAAGAATGACATTCTTTTTCCTGTAACCAATGCGGCTTTGCCATAAACATTGCGCCTATTCTAACTTGAGCCTGTTTTATCAGATAACGGAGATCACGCCGTTTGATCATTCGTAGCTAACAAATAAGGGAGGGCGATCCCTCCACCGCTGGAGTCAGTAAAGTGAAGTAAAGAAGACTGCGGCCTGCTAGGTGGCGATGTCCTTCAGATTAGGATTTTCATTACACTCTTATCGGAGTATTCCAATAAGTAATTTATATTTATTGGATACTTTATACTTATTTATAGTTAGGTAGGATTTTCAGCTCATTTGAGTGCCGTTGCTGATGCAACCATTGTTGCGACCACCAGTGCCACCGGCATTGACAGCAAAGGGGTACCGCCTCGCCTGTTTCAGTGTTCGATAGATGCCGACAAGCTTTTCTATGTACAGCGAAATCGTGCGTTCAATTCGCAGGTAACTGCAGCAGCTCGCTGTGAGCTAAGGCGAAAAGGACAAGGGATCGATCCTTTGGGCGACTCATATTTGGTTTTTCTTGCCGTTACTGTTGGTGAGCCTTGTGTGTTGAATGTTTCATTTTCGGTCGCAACAGCCTCAACTACTGCCGTTGTTTCGATAACGCGATAGCTGGTTAACGCCCAAAATGATCACACTTTCTGACCCTTTGGTTGGCATCGACGACGTTTTGGGCAGACTCTGACCGTCATTGGTTCCGCCTATGAAGCCATTGTTTGATTTAACTTCGTGGTGCTCCTGGTGGGGTAGGTAGCAGGCAAGCAAAATGAGCCTCGGCGAATTCGTCTCGAATCGTATTTTTTGCCAGTAGATGTTAGTCGGTGACGGCAGCGTGTTGGCATTTAGTTGCAGAAGAGTAAATAAACAAAAAAACAAACCAAAGAATGAAAGACAGGACGAAAACTAGAGAATAAAGATTAATTTAAAGAAAACCTTGACACGCAGACGGTTGCTGGCATCAGGCAAATTGCTATCACTGTTTTGCGGCACCAGGTTAAGGAAGAGCGTCTATGCGGCTAAATATATTACATAGACAGGCATATAAGTATTAGCGTTCCCACTCACGAAAGCGTTAACAAAGAGTTTATTTGGTTTTAGGCGCAACTTACGTCCTTTGTGCGAGCCTATAATTCTCTTCTATTGTTTCAGCTGAACGCACAGAAGAAAAAGTCCGTAGTGGATTAGTCAATGCGTCGAAGAGATTGTACTGGCATATCAACAGTCCTTCTAAACATGCGCACCGGATCCAGGACCATGGAAACGTTATGAATAGGCCAAAGAAGAAAACTGTATTTCAGACATAGGTGTCGTTCTTAGTAAATATTCGGCGCATAAAATGTCCAACGAGATTGAAAAGTTGTCAAGTCAAAGAGGCCAGCTTGGAAAAATAGTCTAATTATCTATTTACCCACCGATTAGTATTATACGATTGGATAAAACTTAGCAACGGACGTACTAGAAGTACATGCGGACTCTTCAAAAAATTGCTACGGGGTGAATAATGTTATGTCACGACAAGAAATTGTCACACATCATGAAAAAGATGTTAGCGTGACAAAAACTCGTTGCCTTAGATACTGCCACGTTTCGTATCTATATATGTTGTGTACTCGGAATTTAACTTTGACAAAAATTAAAATTACGTGGCGTCCAGCGGCGAAAAAATCATCGGCGTGAAAGGCTATTGTTAGCCTGCTTAATGATCGGCTCCTGCAGCAAAATCTAATTAAATTAAATATGGAATTAATAGTCATTTTCATAAGAACTACACATGTATATAGGTACTTAATTGAGATGTTTCCTATCATTACAATATTATGTGACATCTATTTCAACAAAAAGTTCACTGGACGGGCTGTTCGCCTATTTCTCAGTCGGTTATTTTTTTATCGCTGGATTCGAAAACTTTAAAGAACTTAAACTCTATGTTAGTCTAGTCAATGAGGCAATTCTTACCTACTTCATCTCTGGCGAGCTAAATCATCGCCCTTTTTGCGGGACCTGCTTCAAAAGCGTTTTGCTTTGTATTGTAAGTAATTTGAAACTGGTGTCCAAACAGTAATAGCAGTGCCCCAACTAATACAATGACGCTTCCTGCACTTATATGTGCCAGCACTAGAAATATGGATGTGCAGATTAGAACAGTTAATGCGCTTGTTAATGCATCTTCAAAATGGCTCTCAAATCATCGTAATAGCCTCAAAATAGAACTCGTCTTTATGCCAGGTAACAAGGCCACCACGACCAGCTATTTGGACTGCTCTAGCCCTGAGCCCGTCTGGTCAAGTCTGGCCAACACCACTAATGATTCAAAAAAACCGTTCATCTTCTGCAACGGTAACATGGCTCATCGGTGCGCTCCTATAAACTGCTACTCCTGATAATAAGCATGGAGTGTGCAGGATCGGGGTTTAGTAGCGGGCGATTAGCTGGTAAAACTATTGGGGGCGAGGGACGTTTTTGTTTGACTGGCAACAAATACGAAGCCATCAGCGAACGAGCGATAGGACGACAACGAGTAGAAGTACGCCCAAGGAAAATGAAGCGGTAGCAAACATAGTTACTGGTGCAAATGACTCCGTTTCGCAGGGGCTTTCCTGCGCCCACCTCTGTTGTAGTTAGTTCTCTATCTAATGCTATATTATCGGTTGGGGCGCCGAGCCAAAAATAGGGGAGACACAACTAGACACTGTGGTTCCCTCACATGAAACTTCTGTTAAGAACACCATACTAGACGGACTTCTTCTGACTTCGACATGCTTCGGCGTACCGCGCAAGCTGTAGGCTTCTTCAAACACTGTTGTTATTACCGTCCCTAGTGGAATCGTCTCATTTGATCGTCCCTTCTGTCGGTATTATAAGTCATGTGCGTCTGTCCGTGTGCGATGCAGTGCTGATGATCCTGATGGCTGCGTGGCAGCAACTGTTCTCATAGTCCGTGAAGTAGTAGTAGTAGAAGTGGCTGTAGCGGTTGTTACCGTTTTGGGTAGTGTCCGTGTGAATGTGTCACTGTCTCTCAGTATTTCTCATCTTCATCTGTCATCCTCATCATCATCATCAGTATCATCATCACAGACAAGACTGGACCCTCCTCGTCGTTGTCACCACCATTTTCGCCGTAGTACTTTGCCTCGATCATCATCAGCAGCAGCTGCAGCGGTAAAAACATCGATGTTATTCTAACGGGTCCTTCTGTGCTGCTTGTTGCCTATTGGTGTTCTTCTCGCTATCCGAATCCATCGTTTTAGTTCGTTTTCGAAGAAGGAACTGCTAGACCTTTGCGTTTTTTGCACGACGAAGACAACGGGACAGCGGCTACTGATTGCTAATGTTGACGCTGCCATTTCTATCGGTGCCATCGTTGCGGGGGAGATGAAGCGGGACGTGTCGCCCAAAGCGGTCAATGGTATGTTCGTAGTGCGTGTAGACATCGTAATAAAACAATAGCAAGAAATCGCCGCGGCCTCCATAATAGCCGACACGGGACAAAGTGCGACCGGTTAGAGGGGCAACTTCGATGTCTTCTAGACGCCCAGCTTCAAACGGCTCTAGCCAAAACACGCTAATACAACGATCTTACTCATACTGTGTACGGTAACGAGACACGAAGAAATCGTGGAAGAATGACGGTCGCCAATAGATATCGCCCACAATATATTACATCCCGTAGCATGCTATATCCATTCTCTTTTGTGGTTCATGCAGTCTTTCGTTTTGATGAAAAGAAGATCTGGGAGTCGATGTCAAATAATGGAGGTTCTTCAAAAGAGCTGTCCCAGGCGGCGGTACTTAGCTGTCTCTCAATATTCAAGATACAAACGTCTTATGCGACAGCCACGGCATACAGCCCTCATAGCTAAGGTTTAATTACCCCACTTTGTGCTGGTTTTTTTCCTGTTACCTTGATCAGGGGGATGTAAAAACTGACTGGAAAATTCGGCATCTACAAATAGCTGCGTAGCAACACATATTTCTATATTAAGATGCGTATGTATATGGTAGGCTAAAGTACTTCTTAAGACTAACATGTAAGCGCGATTGGCTCGGAGTCGTTCCTTTCACGATTTCATGCCGTGTCAGCTTTGTATATATCATTCGAAGTGATTTCATCGTGAAATTAATTCTGTGCCTAAATTGGCTTCATTTTATTATTCTAAGTGAATTTTTTCCCGGCGTTGAAAGTTAGATGTCTATTGCAAGCCCCTCTGTATCGTTCTATGTTATTTTCTTGTCCGTCCTTCTGTGGTCCTATCACGCGTGCATTTCTGTTGGACTCGTATTGTCGGACAAATGTCTGGGAACGTTTCACCTCTTGCGGTTGCCATCTCAGCTGATCTTCTATAAAAGAAACAAGCGATAGGGACAAATAGCCGACTGAAAGAGGTGAGTCTGCAGCCAAGTAACTTGTTAATATCTAGATGCGCTCGTATGTTATAGCATAATGCGATTACAGTTTGTAAAGCATTAAGTTAGAGATACGATCAATGGAAAATAGTTTTATAACGGTATTATTGTTGCCATAATGAACAATTGTCAATTGAAAGTTTTAGGTAAAAATGCCTTTGATTTTTCAATGCTTTTCGATCATCTCCTTCCATTTTACGACTTTGGATTGATAAGGCATTTCATTGTTTTCAGAAAAGAAAGGACACCACCACCATAGTAATACGTCTTTATTTTTATCCTGGCTTTTGTCCTGCAATGGCAGAAAAGTAACGATTGGAGAAGAGTAGTTAGACAATGAATGAAATGAACCGGATTTCATAACGCTTAAACGCGCACGAGCCGTAATACATATCATTATTATGTACACTACCTGTATATCCAAGTTATTACTGCAAAAACGTACGCGAATAGTAAATACTGCTAAGTACATGAAGGTATATTAAATCGCATGATATGCCGCCAGTTTGGACATGTGTCTTGTCCATGTAGTTGATAATTGCTATATGGAAGATGGTCGTATCGTATCGAATTAGGGAAACGAGGAGTGTTTGTTAATAACAAATTGTAACGCCCCACAATCAGTCAGTTCTGGTATTTTATTTGATATGATAGATTGGTTCCCTTTAACTTTTAGAATAATAGGTAATAGCAACAATTCGATGATTGTAAGTTTGAGAAGGATCTCCTGCCCTCGCAGGAGTACAATTATGGATTAAATTCAAGGATATAGTGATGTACTGCTGTTCAAGCATTTCCATAGATACGCACGTGGATTGTTCTAGTGTGAGCATTTACGCAATACTTTCTTCAACAGCCGCATTACACAAGTGACATGCCCGTACATAGCGTCCTATGCATTGCCGTGATGTAATTTCGTTGAAGAACTAGGCTGAAAGTACGTATAGGCCACCGTTGCATTGCTAGTCCTAGCAGTTGTTGTTATAGGAACGTTACGTAAACGCAAAATATATTACTGTTTCTCTATATTATGTAGTCGGATCACGACATTCGGAATCCAGTCGTTTTTCGACTAGATACAACTGATAAACGCATATGTGCGTATTCTTATCAGACAGAGACAGTTGCCTGCCAGAAGACGTGGCATGCCCCCTGGGTGTTGGTCTATAGATTTATTAGGACAAGACTACGACAAAAAAGCTTAATTAATTTTTGGACTTCAATTGTTTATATAAAGTTTTATTTTTATATAGAATCATATTATTGCAGAAAAAAACATCAGATATGTTTGGCGTCGATACATTATACCTAGTATAAATTGGCGAAACCAGATATTTACGCGAATTGGTTCATATTATAGAGCCACTCGTTTCACTTGGTGTTTATGTATCGTGCATCTGTATTTATGTGTTGTGCAACAACACATAAACACAGACGATCGCGTTACCCTGACAACAACGCGATTTTCAACAGAGGTTCAACACGAATGCGAGCTCAGTGAACAACAGCGTAATTACATTTAACAAACTGAGCCACTGAAGTAAAAAAAAAAATTAAAGCGTGCTCTTATCAGTGTATTGCACAGTTCCCCAAGTAAAGAGCTCTCAGCTGTTTGTTCTCGCTCTCCGGGTCGCAGTCGCTTAAAAGCCTCGATTTCAGGGCTCTAGCTCTTGCACTCGAGATTTCTGCCTGTCGGGATAGCTATGCGAGTTTTGCCTATCTTCGATGCGCAAGGTTACGTTACTTACGACGTTTAATCCGGACATCTGGTCAAGCGAAAATTCTTGTTAGGGGAGTTGAATATGAACCTATATTTTAAGCTAACTAAGATTTTGAAGGCAGCGCTTGCGTATGCAGAGCTCAAGTTGTCATAGAAATGCTGTCAAACACACATTAGAGATAGATAGCGGATATTTTAACCGGTCGAACGTTTTTTGCTAGTGGGCTTGTCAGTCTTGTTTCGCATGCCTTCCTCCACGCCCCCCCTCGCACAAAACGAGAGCGTTCATTGAATTAGGGTTACTCACTAACCCCCATTGAAATTGTTCTTACGGACACTTGTTGAAACACGGACCGGCAATTGGCGGGACTGGTACGAATAGAAAATCCTTTTTTTGTTTTGCAATTCCGTCGGGCGATGCTCAAGCGGGTTATCCAAAGGCATGCCCTGCGGAAATGTTTTGCGGAAATGCGGAAAATTCTGTAGGATTCGGTGAAGATATCTTCGTAGGAACTATGTAAATCAGGGACCAGCGGTAACATACCTGGATCTACGTAGATTATCTAAAAAGAAGCAGAAAGGTATAGGGTCCTTGTAAGTAAAATTCCGTTGTGCTTCTTACGATTATCGTTGCCGTCACACGGTTTTGACGGTATCTCAATTTTCGTTTCATACACCTGAATGCAAATAGCCCATTTTATTGAGAAATTGACCTATTAAAGGCAGTATTGAACTTGGACTTGATTAAGTCCCTCTTCAATAAAGGTTTACGTGTCTTTATGGAAACTTGTTCGCGCACACATTTGTATTTAAATGATTTTTTTCTTTTATGTATTCATTGACATTAACTAATGTGTTATCTGTGGTTTCGTCGCCTCTTCGATAGGTTGCAAAGCAGAATCTGTATTATTTGTTAGTGTTATTTCCATTGAATATCGATGGCTTAGGCAATGCACAAAGTGCAACAGCGGCGAGTGGAATGAGCGCCTTAACTGCGAAAGTTCAGCGAAGGACGGATAGTCTGTAGTGATGAGTTCCCGCTGATATGATCCTGGATATAGTCGAATCTATGTCTAGGGGAAAATTTTTCTCCTTTTAAGCAATTTATCTTTCATATATCGTCGATGCGCTGCCCCACGAAACAACATCCGTGCTAAATTGTACTTCCAAATTGTTGCAGGACCGTTTCAGGGTATCATCCTTTTTAGACAACATCCTATCGGGAAACGGTGACTCTGAACATCCTATCGTGCGTAGACATTTATAGAACGCAGCTGAGCTCGGGTGTGTACAAATACTCTCAGAAGGAGAGTTTACTTGATATCAATTCAATTTACTATATCTAAGGAAAGGTTCATTTTGGAGTATACAATAAGACTGTGGTAGTATCAATCACTATATTTTATTGGGCATGAGGTGTATTAGTAAGCATTTGTTTTCGAGATGTATGACAATAGGTACGTGTTTACACGTGCACGTTTCTAGATTACTCTAACGTGGGTCTTCATGATTTCCTACAATTTTAATTGCTCTACTTCAACGTTATTCATTCGTTTCTATCCTTCCAGACGTTAACGAACTGACTAAATCTAGAATCAATGTTCGTGTGGCGTAGGCTTCTGTTTTATGACATCAGCATGTACTGAGCATGAAGGCTTCACTGAGGACGACGCGTAAATCGAATCTAGAGTAGTGTTTATGCTCGTAACTTGTCTTTATACGAAGAATAAAGACAATAAACTGTTATGAAGACAATCGGTCAATGGATCGGAAATACGTTTACAACGGGCAATGGCCAATAAAATGTTACCCTAACTAGCTTGTGGCGGTGTATCTACGCGCTACACTATATAGACATTTATATATAGCTAGCACGAGAAAAAGCATTAAGAAAACTATGGGCTCAGTCCAGCCATTTGCCATCGTCTCAGAATTAGTAACCGCTTAACCTTTAATCTAGATAAAAAAAAAATCATTGTTTCTCGAAGAATATTTCTTGTATAGTGAAAAGTAACCCCATGCATTGTGGTCTTCTACTTACTTAAGTTTATTTTATCAATATAATAGTATGCCAGTCTATCGATAGCATCCTATTCTGATCGCATGAAAGCTATTATGTTGAACCAAAAATACTGTTGCGGTTCAACGCGTTCGATTTTTACGTATCGGCTTCGATACTGATGCGTGCTTCTTACGCTGAAAATCAAAGGAGCAATTCCAGCTTTAAGCGAAGGCTAGAAGTAGGGTAAATGCCGTCCAGAGTATTCTTCTCACTAAAACGTAAACCCGTGGAATATATCAGCACCCATTACCGAGCAACAGATCGAAACGACGATTTTCTGTGAAATAAAAGCACGAATCGAACGTCGTCAGTACCCCCTGCCGAATTCCTCGTATCGTACCTTATTGATTTTCCGACCAATGCCACGTTTGTGGATGCCCCACTATAGATGCGTGTTGTTATTGTGCAACAGTTGATCCTACGCTAGCGTTCTACGGGAGGGACGGACGGACCGCAAATCATCTGATTAATGCTATGACATAATCGACTTTTCAATAGTAACGATAATAGGCAAACTCTAAAAGATAGTTGCTATGAGATACTTGAGCCGCTTGTGTCTATGTGTGGCCGTCTGTATGCATAGAGATCACCTCAATAAAGTGAACATACTACAAGATACCAGGAAACGGCACTTAGTGATTGATTCGATCCTGGCGCCTCAAACTGCGATGACGCTGATAATCACCGTTGGCGACGACCGGCGACATTGACGTTAACATTCAAGCAAGCTTATCAACAACATAAAAGCCGCAAACGGTTCAATGCTTATGATCTCGCATATAATTGTGCTGCAGACAAGGCATATATGGCACATAAGCATAGACGCAATCACAGACGTCAACGAGTTACGACTAGACAGACAATAGCACTTGCATCCCCGCACAATCATAAGCATCTTTGCCAAACGTGTACGAAGCTGATAAGCTATCAATGGAGAAGTTTGTCATCATTTAAATTTCTGCGTCATTTTTGAGAGAGGGGTGATCCCAGTTCATTTGCTGCACCAGCTAATCATCGATGCTGGGCGTCTCGTCAATGGGGATAGTACTACGTCGAACGGCTGCGATAAAATTAAGGACACATAATCTACTTGTTAGATGAACCCATTGCCTGTACAAATCGTTTTATCATTGCTAACGTATTGTAAATTGCTGATCATTTGAACTTTGAGACTTGCCCCGAGGCGTCGCCCGAATATACATAGCGATAATAATAAATAACCTATATGGTAACGTAGTAGCAGTAGTGCACAATTTTAGTTCTATAAACCAAATCTAATGTGAATTATTAAGATATAATAGCGTAACTAACAGCGCTAAACTCCAGCGCTGAGATGACATTCCCTATGCTGTTTGTGTTTATTGTAGAAGTCAATACAGATGAGTGGTAAATATTTTAAATTTCTGTCTCCGTTGGTAACAACACCTTGATCCTGCAGGTGGAATTTCGTGATAAAAAAAATAAGCTTAGCAGACGGTGCACGATGTGTTACGATACGCGTAACAGACAACACCTTGACGATGTACTGAAAAATCATCGAAATTGTTTGTCCTTAATGCTAATCGTCAGGATGAAATATAGCTTTATCGTAATGATCTTCCATTTGTCACCCGTACACACATACCAGTCATCCTACCGTTCGTTAGATGATACAATTTCCCACGTATTCCCTTAGGCGCCGTCACTTCCTTACATTGAAGCAGATTCACAAATAACTAACATAAGCTAGCTATTCAGCATATCAACAACAACTCTTTTTATTTTCTACCTCCTCTCTACTTGTCTACGATGTTTACCCGCAGCACTTGCTACCCTATTCCTTTTTTGTGGGCACCTGTTCCATAATACCGTCGGCATTTGATCTGACGCAACGGTTGGAAAACCGTAGCTGTGAAGAGCTGACACTCTTTAAACAAACCAACTTTAGCTGTTGTTCCTCTGGCCGTCATTCACCCTTCACACACAAAGGGCGTACATAACAGTAACATGCTACATGGAGCGGGAAATACTGCACCGGCAACAAAATGAATTTGTTGCAGCCGACAGCTGCAACGGCGGTCCATACGGGCATCGACGTGTTAGGACGCCATGCTGCTAATGCGAATGCCGGTGCAGCAGCTAACGAAGAGGAAGCACACTACAAAGAAAATGTGTCCCGCTTCGTTCAGTCACCTCGAGGAATTGGTCTGTACTGAGGGACCAGGGGCATACGACTCGCAGGCCGCGGCTGCTGGTGGAAGGAGCTGAGATGAGAGGTGCGCTGCAACGGATAAAACGCTCGAGACATTGTAGCGCGATCCAGTTAACGGCTAGTAACTGTGATTTTGGAGCTTGCAGCCGGTAACAGCAGCTGTCACCATAACGGGTCTTGTCGCGTCGTTACGGTTAACACTGCAACGTCTATCTGGCATTACCACTAGTATTGTCACCACCATTCGTAGAGTCAGCTTCGAGCTGTTGCAGCCTGTGGCTAATAACAGGCGAAAAAGATACACGATGACGCTGAAGACTGGCTTGTGATGATAGTCAGGCCATTGTGTGAAATCCGAATAAAGGGACTGGTCAGAAAGGAGGGGAGCTACAAGGGAGTAGAGACAAAGCTTAAGAAATGGTTAGTCGACTGACCGACCGCCGACCAAATACAGATTTCGCTTGGAACTTGAGCCTTGGCTGTGACGTTCCTGCCGCGTAGTAGGCCCTTCGTTCACACATGAATGTTGTCCCGCTGCCCGCTTTTTAGTTAAGCCGATCGGCGTGGTTATTAGCGAACTATATGTGCATTTGGGGTTTTTTCTAGCGCTTCGACCATAGATGCTCCATGCATAACAGTAACATAAACTGTTTTAGTTTATAAGGACAACAAGATTCGAAAGACATCTTACAGGCTCAAATACAAACTTATGTACTATTTAATATATGGAGAGTAGACACGGTTGAAAACGAGCGGCCAGATGCGCTTCATTGACGTACGCGTGGTTAGGTGTTAACACATAGGTATACTAGTAAGTTGCGCTGATTGGGTTGATCAGTTAGTGAAGAACGTGTTTATATGATAATATGAGGGACACGTGATTGCCGAGATTTGAATCTGGTTGAAGACACAGTTTGTTCCAACGTGGGAGTCAACCGTCCGATGGAAAGGCCGACGGCGGCGCCGCAGATGAGAACTCGAAATATTCGGTATGGTTAAGCCAGCGTTTTGAAATACCGCCAACCCATATATAATGTATCGTCTATACAGAGGCGGTCATACATATACGTATATATATACACATAAGGGTGTATTTCCAACTCTGTCTGCGTGTGTTGTGGCCAACCAGTTCGTTGACCCCGCCTCTCGAAAGGCTACAAGGTGAGTGAATCTGTATGGAATTCATTTTCAATATATAAATTGATTTGGTTGTAAGCTGCATATTAGTGAAAAGGAGAAGTATGAATTCGAATTTGTTCCATGTACCTCAAGTTTATTAAGTGTACGTATCACTTTACTTGATGAGCGCTTCAGTTCGAGGTTTGAGTCACAAGTTCTTTTAAAAATCCTTTCTTCGAAATTCGCGGGCAACTTTAGTAGCCTGACCCTAATGTGTGCAGCTAGAAACTCGCAACGGACAAAAAACCCAGTGGAATCCATTTTGAAATATATAGTAGGCCAAAAAAACTCAAAAGGAGAAACAACAGATGCCCAAAAAGTGCCCAAATTCTACAAAAAGCTTAGCGTTCGCTCAGCGTTAGTTTCGGACGAAGTACCTTTCTGTCGACAGAATTACAATTATTTCTGAATCAAAATTCGGGGATCATCAGAAATAGGTTTCTGCTCTATTAATATAACAAATCACTGAGCAAACGTAGGTAAGTTTTGAGTTTTTTTTTAGTAGAAAAGGTAACTAAGTGTATTTTTACGCCTGCCGTGGAAAGAATAGCACAAAGTCCGAGATCGAACGAATAGTTCAGGCACAAAAAAGCGATCGAACCATATATATATATATATATATGAATGATACTAATAATAATTACAGAATATCAAAAATATAGTATAACAGCTCTGTGTTACCTAGCTTCTCTGTAACATCCTATAATTGTTTGTTGAATTCGTTATTGGAAAGGTTAGGGGGTCATGTTATCTAGGGTATATGAAAAGGATAATGACAACGGCCATCGTTTGCAGTAATTATGTTACTGTATAGGAAGAACCACTAAAATCATGTTCTTCGATCCGTTTTGTATATGCGACAGTGTCAAAGTTGGTAAAACAATCCGTACTTCTATATGATATCCATGTCGGTACTGTTTTTTTCATCATTCCATGGCTGATAAGTAACGAAAGTGTCTTGCTGTCATTATCACTTTTCCACAGATCTATCGATCTTTCTTCTGAAAGCGGTATAATTGCATCAATAAATTGTTGGCAATAATAGGACCGTTACTTGCTGTCCGGTTGTATGGCCGTCCTGTCAATCACCCGCCAACAATTATTTGATGTAATTGTTTTCGAAAACTTTAAAAGCTCAGTCGTTTCGGACACAGAAAAATATATAGACAGTTATTATATCTGATATATAGGCAATTATACTACTCTTGTTCATTGAGAATTGACCTTTTCCTACCGTCTCGACCCGTCTGCGTGGTATAGGCCAAAATCAAACGTACATGTATCGTTGACGCAAATAGAATATAACAGCTATACTAGAAGTCTTTCTCTTTTATCAGAACATGGCACCGATTCAGAGCTTGCTTGATATTATATAGTATCTCATTTGAATTGGTTAAATATTCGATCATTCCGTATCAGTCATAGATTTCATTCAGTAACTCACCCGGTTCATCTTTTGTG